CAAAAATTATATATCAAAACAAAAGACATCAATTAAACGTAAAATATTAGTGTGAGAAACTATAATTTAACAGATAATAAGTCTATAACTATCGCATTATATCGAATTTGTGATATTTTTCTAATACTTTAGTGTAACTATTGTATTTATGATAGATTCTTCCTGAGAAACTAATTACATACTCAAATATATTTGTAAAGAAATTCAAAAACTATCGGCTTTTCTATCTACTTCTCCAGATATCGATAATTTTTTTATAGTTTTGGCTATAATTTTGCGTACATTCTTACTTTTTTACCACCAAAGTCTTATTTTTCTTTACAGAGAAAATGTGAAAGTAAAAAGTGTGTTTATCCAAACTATGAAATCTTTCCAAACTTTATCCGGTGTAAACATCAAGTTACCCTACATCTACACTGAGTAGACTTTAGCAAAATTCTTAAAAAGCTTGCCAAACTCTGGCCAGTGCAGATGAGTTAAAAATATTGAATTACTATATATATAGTAGAGAATCTTTTTTTTTTTGAAGTTTTAAGCACACGTGTATATAATACACATTCATCGACAGAAAGTTACTGTTAAGTAATCAAGTTTATCTTCAGTGCATTTCATGAATATCATATAACCAAACTTCATTTTCTTCTTCGAATTTAATATTATATAAAAGTCATCCATTAATCAACGTATTTACGAACCTAAATGAATTCGTTAGATCTTCTCTCAAGATCAATATATCACTTCAAGAAAAGTATTATGGTAAATCGGTACAATTATCAACTGATTGGATGCCCTGGGTTTACTTAACCGTCCACAATTCACGATAAAACAGAATTTAGTGAAGAACCTGTAGAAATACTAAGATTATCTTGCAAGACGTGAAAGGATTTTGATAAAAAAATTAGATTTGCTATATATACTTTGCCTGCAATCATGATTATCTTGAGGTACCCAAAAGCTATGGTTTTATAGTTTAACATGTTTTAAAGGGCAAAAGGACTAAAATGGCTGATTTGATTATAAAGATTTTTTGTATTAACATATATAGTTTTATGCAACCATAAAGTTGTTCAGATACTGTTGTTTGCACGTTGTTGGGGAAGAAACTAAGTGAATCTTATACAATTTATATTAAAATGTCAATCTTTGAAAATCCAAAAGTTTTTGTCAATTAATTTATTGCATAACATGTTTTTATATACATAAAGTATGTTTAAATGTGAAATATTCATCCACTTAAGTGAATTATCACAGCACTTTTTTAGATATAGATGGTTGCAATTTTATTGATTTTTATGCGCATTATGTATCACAGTGGCAATTGAGTTGCGTAAAAACGGATGATCTAGTTTTAATATCTTGTTTATTTTTGTTTATATCGTTTTAACTGTCTTTTTTGTTATGTTTTTTTTATTTAAACACTTTTTTATGATTTGCTATTGTATATAATTTACCTATTATCAACACAGTTATTATTAATTTCCTCCAACGACAATAAGTGCCAATCTCTCTCAGATGTTCTAACTGCAATTTGTCTAGTTGTCCGTCAAATTGTCACTTTACCTTGTCAGCTGTCTTCAACATCTTTAAAATAATCGGTTTTTAATTTCTATGCATTTTAGAAGTATAATTTTTTTCCGGAATATATGTAGATGTATATGCACGATTGACTTCAATGCAGCGAGAAGATGCCAGAATGTTGAATTTACTTACATAAGACTTTGAAATTCGATACAAAAAGTTTTATTGTTGAAACAGCTTAATAAGTGCGCACAAAGGTAAACACACAAACCAATAAAAACCAATAAACAAACAAATAAACAAACAAATAAACAAACATGTAGCTAAATAGATAGATAGATACACAGTCAGACAGAAAGATAGCAAATAAATACGGGCGGTCACATAACTCGATATCGAAATGCACTTAAGTATTGCAACATTGCCAGCGTAGTTACTGGTATGCCTGCCTGCCTGCTTAGATGCATAGATACTCTCATATTGAAAAAAAATAGTAATAATAAAATGTATTTTGCACAGATTGAATATTGCCATAGAGTAACAATAGAAGCTAAAACGCAAATAGCAAAAAAAAAAACATATTATAAATAAATAAATAATGAGCTTCAGTTAAAATAATAACGATGTTTGTTAAGGCATTTTCCGCCACAACTTGCGGTTCAGTAAAAGTAATTTTATTTGTTCAGCTCGCATCTCTGAAAACATACGGCAACGTAACGTGCTGAAGTGAGCAACTTAAACCGCAAATAGATTTGCACTGCGAATGAGTGATTATTATTTCTGCAGTAATGATGACGTTAATGAAACCAGTGATGCAATTGCCAACTAAAATCTGTATTAGTTACACTTTTGAAACCCTAGAAAAGGTTTCAAATTTTCAAAATTGGCGACAAGTCGAAACCAAATTGTAAAAATACTCGTAACTCAAAAAATGTTTTTTATTTTTCATTGGAATCATTTTATTATTAATGCTGTTATTGTTTTCAAGGAAAAATTTTCGAAAAATCTTAAACGAAAATTGCAAAAATGCAATATTAAGTTTCATGTATTTTTAGACTTTAACCACAAATCTAAACCACAAAAACAACATTTTTCGTTTTGGAGTTGCAATACAAAAACATTCAGGAGAACGAGAGGCAAGGGACTGAATCGGAAGATTTTGAAGAGCAAAGATTAAAATATATCGAATTTAGAATTAAAAAATAAAAACTATTGCTGTACGTAATACTAATGAGCAGTGACAATCAAATATTATATATTGTACATAAGGATCGAGGAACGAGACGGATACGCAAGTATAATAGATTCACTTTATAGGTAGAATATCAAATCATTGGTAGCAGATCATCTTATAACAAAAGTTTTAGAAAAATGTAATTGACCCAT